TATCTGTACTATTTAAGAACCGGCGCTATTAAAGGTCGGCGCTATTTGCAAGCAGCAGTATTAATCGATATTTGCACGGTATTAGATAGTTACCGCAATGGAATTTCTGGTGTGTGTCACAGCGCGCAATATGCACATTACCCGCTTAATGGCCTGGTTTCAGAATTCTTCGTAGCCCATAACCACAATGTTATCTATAAAAATTGATTGGTGGAAGGAGATTAGACGTGCCTTATAAAATTGGAATTTTTAGCTTGTATTTTTTAGTGTCAAGGTTAATCGTTTTTACTTTGGAATTCTTTTTCCAATATGTTCTGGCAGAGAACGTTCGCTTTAAATCGCGGTATTAATTGATTAATCCTTATCTTAAAGTTAATTTTATGTCAAACAATTAGGAATTTGATCGAGAAACAATGATATTTTTCGGTTGTTTGTTTATTTGTCCTTTATACCAATTTGATACGTTGTGATTTCTGTAAAAGAATCGTATGTTTTATTATTTGAAAATTACAAGCAAAAATGATGATAATTAGTTTTAGAATTTAATAACGTGATTTTACTCGAAATGTTATACAAAATTTAATAGATACCATATCTAATAGAATTCAAGAAATTAAAGTAAAAAAGTTAAACACTATTAGTACAATATGCTTCTTCTTTATACTTTTCAACTTTTTCTATAGTAATTAACAGATAAAGTGAATATTCATGATAAAATGTTTGATGATTTATATTCATTATATTCTAACATTATTATGCATACTATAATTAGGTCATATTTTACGATCGTATATTCTCCTGATAAATTTCGATTAGTTTTTTTATAGTTATTCAGAAATATATTTCAAAACTAATCTCTTAATTGATTGTCAAATTATGTATTTTTACACACTATTGAATATTACAAAAACGATTTTGTACATGATTGTTTATGAAAGATTCATCATTTATCAAAGACTATCTTTACATGGATGTATCTTCTATTTCCAACAGACTTATATTTTGTGAGCCTAACAAGTATTTTGAAATCGATAGACAAATAAAAATGAACTTTTCATGTTTCACTCGTGTGGTTTTTCACTTACATAAAAATTTCATTCTCTCTATTATATTGATTTTGTAATTATGAAGAAATTGTATTCTTTTCGTTATATCAATTTTTTTACGTCAACAAAAAAATTAGATTGGAAAAGTAAAGATCCAAGTTCTTTTGAACATACAAAAATTTCATATCTGTTTTTCATTAAAAACATTTGCAAATTTAATTATCTTTTTATTATATTAATTTTTTGCCATTATATTTATATAATTCGATACCAAAATACCGAATTAGTTAGTAAAATCAGAATTAAAATTCGCCTGAATACATAAGAAATTATTAAATATATATTTTTTTCTTTTTATATAAAAATTTATATACCTATTTCTTCTCTTTTTATTGTATTACATTTCTATAATTATATTATTTCGACATCAAGAGGATCTTTGGAGTTTATTAGCCGAAATTTCGAATTTGTTAAGAACCTTTCGCAACAGTCATCAATTTTCAGGATTTTGTAACCATTGCAAGCTCCGGAATTCTTAAATTTATTATAAATAATTGTGATAGGTTTGAGGTCTCTTAAGTTTCTAATCATCATTTCGAATCTTCTCGAAAATTCCTCGGCAATCTTTGTCTAACTTTGTCTTACAGATCAAGAGAACTTAGGAATACTTCATGACGGGTTTAACCTCTTTTTTGTCCCAAAATTGCAATATTTCCTCAATTTTAAGTACATTTAAGTATAACCCAGGCAAAACAGATGATAAATTTATTACTTCTCAATAATTTCTATTCAGTGATATCATACCGACGAGTTCAAAAAGAAAGCGACAAATTCTTGTATACGGTTCGGTCACTCGTTATGGTCCGCAATCAGTTGACAGCGCAAGAGGTTAACCTCTTGCGCTGGAATGACGTGCCACGCACGTTGAGAATTTTTTGTCCCAAAATTACAATATTTTCTCAATTTTAAGTATATTTAAGTATACCCAAGCAAAATAAATAATAAATTTGTTACTTCTCAATAATTTCTATCCAGTGATATCATACCGACAAGTTTAAGAAGAAAGCGACAAATTCTTGTATACGGTTCGGTCACTCGTTATGGTCAGTTGTTAGCGCAAGCAGTTAAAAGACTCGCTTTAGCCATTTCGTGCTTTCTCTCCGGAAAGTTTCGAAAAGGATCCTCTTTGTAAACCACTTGGAACTCCTGCGATCAAGCTGCTAAAAAGTTTCAGAATACGGTAGATTTCCTCTTAACCGACCAGAATGGGATTTTATCCTCTGGTTGGATAAATGAATAACCGATTAATCGGTATCGATAACGGTACTATTTATAGCTGAATAAATTCAGCGAATAATATTTGAAATAGATACTTCTAATAAAACATTTTTCTTCTATGATATTCTTCTAACAATGAATAATCCGTGAAGAATATAGCATTGTAAAGTTTTCGATATAATTGTAACGAATGCAGATTGTTTTATGTTGAATTATTGATATAGAATATTCAAAATCTGTTTTCACAATGAATACTGGCGGGTTAAAACGGATGCCGGACAAAAGGAAGTTTACAGTAAAAATAGAAAATTTTTTACAGTCACATGATTGAGAAGAGAAAAATGTATTATTATTAAAATTTATTAATTTTTATTAAATTCTCTTTGTTTTATCGTCAATTATTTTTGATCACATCAAACCGGAAAAAATTAAACATAGAAGGTTAAAACGATTTGAAATACGATATTATTCGTGTAATAATTGCAATATTCGTATAATTGTTTTTACATGAGTTTTTTTTATCAAACAATTGTACTAACGTATTAATTATTTCAATAGAAATTTTAAATGAAATTGAATTTCATGTGTCTTGTCTAAATATTTTTAATTTAAAGTATCTTGAGGCGTATGTAAATTATTTTTATTAAATAATCGTGACGAAATTTATATTATATAATGATGACATAAAATTTAACGACAGCGTAATCAGCGTGAAATCGATTTGACGATGAAACTGTCACGTGTAGAGTGATTCATTGCGATTTAATTACTTCTAAATCGCCAGTATAATTACTTTTCGATGCGCTTTAATGAAATTAACACTCGACTCGTTATACTATCTAGTCTCTCCTACAAATTACAGTAATCGTTTTGTAAGGAAACATCTGATCAATTAAAGCTCACGAAATGATAAATTTATTGTTCTTTAATTTTCAAATATACGGGATGTGTTTTTATTTATAAATGCAAATTATTGACAAACTATCTGTTATATATATATATATATATATATTTATATAAAATAGTTTGTATAAATGAATGGTTTCGAAAGGTTCACAATGCTATAATTAGTTCTTCTAGAGACTATATGAATGTAATATCGAGAAACTAGTAATTTAATAGATATTTTAATTTTAATCTCAATTTTATAAATTCTATATTATTTCTTTTATATATTTATTATATCTTAGCTATCTTAGCTAATTTTATAAATATTGTGTAAATATTTTAATTATAATTTATAAAAGTATTTTGTAGAAGATAAAAATAATATGAATTCCAGAATTATGTTTCTGCCTTTTCTCGCGTTTCATACGATGTAGGTTTTACAAAATTTTATCAAATTAAGATTAAAATATCTCCTAAATAAATGGGAGTTAATTTTAAATCAGTTAGTTTGAACAAAGACAGTTGGAAAAATATTTGAAACAAATGATTATATTATCATAGCGTCTTATGTACAATTAGACTACTTTGTTGCTCGAATTTATTTAAAGACCTATCAAATAATGACCCATCAAGAAAAGACTTACTAAAAAATAAAATTGTCAAGAGACAAAGACTTAAGAAAGAAAGAAAAGAGATCGTTTTTTAAAATAATCGCAATTATAGTATAAAAGTACATATATTATTTATGTACATTTAATTGATTTCTCCATTAATTATTAAATAGAATATTACACTTTCAAATTTCTCATAAATGCATAAAAATCCACAGTCCTAGTATAACAATTATTTGATTTAAGAAATTGCAGTGAGTCAAAATTTCGTCGAGACAAATTTTCTGAAGAAAGCCTTTTGAAGATTTGACTTAAAAATTGAATATAATATAGTAAAGACTTCATTAAGTAATTCAAAATGTTTTAGAAAAGAATTAGAGGAGCTTAGCCTTCTCAATCGTTGATAAAATATCACTATTCATTGTACATTAGTTTTTTACTTGATATTCATTAAATATCTTGCAGTTTTTATATAACGTATATTTCCAAATTTCACTAATATAAATAATTGCGACAGTTAGAATTTTGCACATTATATGCAATAGAAATATAAAAGTTGTCTAATTGCAAGTATAATTTTCTAAATGTTCGAATAGTTATTTTGAGTTTATTCTGGACGTCGTGCATTCGGTGCAAGAATTAGGAACACGATATGCAAGTCATGATTTGATCATGATTACGATCAATCAAAATTGTATTTATTAAATATACTGGTAATGAAATACACGAAAGTTTGAACACAGCACTAAAATATAAAATTAGAAATTTTATGTTCCTGCATATATTGCATATATTGTGCAAAACATTCTAAATGTCACAATTACTTATATCAGTTTATTTACTGTATTAATCACATTTAGTTACTTGTTCGAAATTTGGAAATATACATTGTACAAAAATCACAAGATATTTTAATAAATGTCAAGTAAAAAAATTAACGCACAATAAAATAATTGATGCCCAAGTGAAATAAAATCCCCCCGGTTTCCTATTTCGACCGACGGGGAAGGGCAGTGGCTGTTAAAATTCTTGTACCTTTGCGATCGAGCGAAAATACCCGAGGCACGCTTCACGTCTCTCGAAGTAGGGGGAAACGAGCAAAACGGCGGAGAACTGAAAAGCGCGGGGCCGATGTAGCCAGCAGGCATCGCTAACACGTTTCTCCTTTCATTTTCAGCCGGTGCGGTAGTGATCGTGGCCTCGAAGCGAGTCCTTTTACGGCGGGGACGAGCATCGAAAGCGGAGGAGAGCCTCCCTCCCTCCCTCTCTCTCTCTCTCTTTCTCTTTCTCTTTCTCTCCCCGATCGTCCACTTTGGCCCACAGACGAATCAAACCGGCAACGTCCAGAGCGCAAGGGAAACCAGAGGAGAACCAGATTCGCCACAACGAAGAAAGAAAGACAGATCGAAAGCGAAGACGGGGCCAGGTTTACGGAGCTATCATGGAGTAAAGCAGCGTGGTGGATCGTAAAAGGGGGAGAAAAAAGAAAACGGAGAAAGGGTGACAATTCGGAGGGGGGGAGGGGGAGGGGAAGAAGAAAAGAGAACACTTTCATACAGAGGTAGATCTAGCATGAAGTAGAAGAGAATTTTTAAGAGGAAGATATCGAAGGAAGAGAAAGAAAGGATAAGAAAAGAAAGAAACGAAAAGGAGCTGATCGATTCGGACATTGAAGATCGACTTTAGAGGGGAAGGATCGAGGAAGAATCTAAATGACAGATAAGGAAAAAGGGGAGAAGGCGAAGAAGGAGGGTTAGAGGGGAGAAAAGGTGGTCGAGATTGTGGAGGAAGCTGGTGAGGGAAAGGAATGGGTGCCGGGATGGGCAGAAGCGGCACGAGCGGCGGCTTTCTCGAGGCACTTCCCACGGGAACGCCGCTCCACGTGGCCATGCTCGGTCTTGATAGTGCTGGGAAAACCACCGCGTTGTATCGGCTCAAGTTCGACCAGTACCTAAACACCGTGCCCACCATCGGCTTCAACTGCGAGAGAATCCGTGGTGGCATCGGGAAAGCGAAAGGTAAAGAAACAAGTTCTTTTAACTTTGCCAAAAGGGGAAATTAGGGACGATCGAAGTTGATGCGTGAATTTATTTGTGTATTCGTATTCGTATAAATAATATCAATTCTGTATTCATTTTTGAATGTATCAGTCATCAATAATGTAATACTTCTCTTGTCTAGTTATAAAGTTATAAAGATAGCGCGCACAAATTATCCAGCTGTCGTATCGATCATCTTCGTAAATTGATGTTGCAAATGTTACTTTTTAACCTCTTGCGCTGGAATGAACGCCGAGAATTTTTTTGTTCCAAAATTGTAATATTTTCTCAGTTTTAGGTATATTTAAGTGAAACAAAAATAGGCAAAACAATATAATAAATTTATTACTTCTCAATGATTATTATAATATTATTATATATAATAATAATATAATAATATAATATAATAATAATATATAATAATATATTATTATAATATTGTTATAATATAATAAATTTGTTACTTCTCAATAATTTCTATCCAGCGATAGCATACCGAGTTCAAAAAGAAAACTACTAATTACTGTGTACGGTTTGGTCCGCAATCAGTTGCCAGCGCAAGTGGTTAAAGTTCAATCTGAAATTTACTATTATTTATTCTCTTTTTCTTGAGACAGTTGAACTTGTTGAAATAAATCATTCGTTCCTTAAGAATGGCGCGAGTGTCGATTGTCGAATGAAATTGAAATAACTAAAAGTGTAGTTGATCAATTTAATGACAGAAAATTAACGACAGAAAATTTTATATTGAAAAAGGCAAACGCATCAAAGTTAAATAATTGAGATAAGGTTAATTCATATGTCAATTTTGGTCGTCCTGATTGTCGAAAGGAAATCAGTAGTGTTAGTCTGAATTTCTTATTAACAAAAGGCTCACAAGAGTTTTACAATTTTTATGGCAAATAGGATAATCGAAACTTGGAGTTCGTTTCATTTATTTTATTATTATGATACATTTCTTTTGCGAGGGTATTTATTGATACTAATGATTCGTAAGTTGTAACAACTTGAAACAGAATTGTTCGAAAGAAAAAGATGATTCTCAATCTGCCTAAATATCGAATCGAATAAATAAATAAACACAATAAATAAATTGGGAATTTATGCACATTCATGCTTGTGTATGAACCAGTGGAATATAAAACTGTTAAAATTTTTAATTATGAAATAATTATTAAATTAATTCTTTTATGACTCTATTATCTTTTCTGTTTAAAAAAAATGCAGTGTATTAATTGAAACATTTATTTCGTACATTTTTGCGTAAATAAGAAACTTCTATTTTCTTGAAAATAGAATAACAGTTCTAATTAAACAGTGACATTTATTCTGCTCTGAAGAAGTTAAAATTGTGGCAAGCAAATTTCCTAAAAAGTTGTTAAGATAGAACCGAAAAATTGTGAAACCTTGAGATCTTTTGGCCAAGTTGTATTTGTAAGTTCAATTCTTTAAATTATGTTGAATTATTATCAATTAAAATTATTAAAAAAAATTATTAAAAATTATTAAAAAAAAATTCCTAACGTTTACATTTTACACTTAAATATTTGTTTGAAAGCATATTCGAAAGCTGAACTTTTATAAAAGAGTTAAAGTGTTAATGTACAAAGGTAGCTTAAAATGGAAAATGAAAAAATAAATCGAAATGAGAAAATAAAGTTTTTTGACCTTGAGACTTCATTTTCCAGAAGAACGAGATTTGAGAAAACTTGTCACGTGTATTTTAATTCTGAAACTAATTCTGAACTGAACAGAATCGAATAATAAACATGAAGTTCTATCTAAGTTCTACTCTGAAATAAGTCAAGAATGTAAATTTGATAATTTATCAAATACATGTGTACTAAATTAATTTTCATCTATATACAATGATCTATATAACTCATCAATTTATGTAGTAGGTTACATACTAAATTTCCAATGTTTCGAAAGTTGATATTTAAATTGTTATAATTTCATAACACTTTACAGCACCGAATCTAAGCTAATTTTAAAACGTGAAGCTTCCTGGATTCATTTTTTTCAAAAATATTTCGATATCATTTGTAGTAAGTGGAAAAGTAAAGATATTCTAATTGAATTGAAACATTAAAAATGTTCAAAAAAATATTGAAAAAATTCAGATTATTGTCTTTCAGAATATTGAAAAAATTTTTTCATAACTCAGTCCACTGTAGATTTGAAGATTGAAGCTTTTCCTTTACAATAACCCCTTTACTATACGATTTCTTGAATTAATACATCCGAAAACTATGAAAATTTCTTAAATTTTTGTCATTCAGCAAGTTTCAAAGAGTTATTAAAGTGAAACGTCATTCTTCAATTATAAAAAACAATATCTTTATTTTATTTTTTATTTTATTTTTTAATTATAACTTATTTTATTTTTTATTCTGTTTTTTAATTATAATTTATTTTATTTTTTATTTTATTTTTTAATTATAATTTATTTTATTTTTTATTTTACTTTTTAATTATAATTTATTTTATTTTTTATTTTATTTTTTAATTATGATTTATTTTATTTTTTAATTATAATTTATTTTATTTTTTATTTTATTTTTTAATTATAATTTATTTTATTTTTTATTAAATTTTTTAATTATAATTTATTTTATTTTTTATTTTATTTTTTAATTATCTTTATTTTATTTTTTATTTTATTTTTTAATTATCTTTATTTTATTTTATTTACTTGCAACGTAAAGACATTTTTGAGAAAACTAAAGGATTGTGAAAGTAGAAAATTCATGTTTTAAAGTAAGCTCAAATTCATTGCTGTGTAATTTCTTACGTTTTAATGAATTATAATAAGTCATATGTCAATTTTTCGAAACATTGGAAATTTAGTGTATACAAGTTTGTGGCTGTCACTATATATTATATTACAATTCTATTTTCTCGGAAATAAAGTCTTAAATAAAAAAAATGTTGTTTTCTCTTTCGCACAGAATTACGCTTCGATATACACTTAATATATAAATTTATAATTATTTAAATAATTTAAATTTCACCTATAATTATTAATTTTTATATAAAATTATTTTATCTTAATAATTATTAACTTATAATTTAAGTTTAACCGCTATTGCTGGCACTTTAATTTATAATTATTAATTTTAATTCCCTTATTTAATTTCCATTAATTAATAATGAAGAATTTTTATTAATTTTACTAATAAATTTAATATTTACTTTTAATAAATTATATATAAAATATTGATTTAATTAATAATCCAACCATAATTATATTATTTATTATAATAACATTTTTATATATCACGTGCATTGTATGCATTTTTGTGTCTTTAAGTTTTCCATAAATTTATTAAAAAATGGCCAATTTGACAATTAGACTCATATTTTTGAAAATAGAAAATTGCTTCATCCACGAAATATTACAAAAAGTGCTGCGCTTTCGATATTTTATATATTTATATTATACATTACGATAGTTATGTACAATATTGCGCTTTGCAATTTCCATAAAAATCCGCAGTTTATTAATGACAAATGTTTATTGCTTGAATTTTATGGTGATTTTTGGCGAATAAGAAATTATTGCAGCCAACGGCACGTTTATAGTTGTAACAGGCAAATATTATAGCTGGAGACGTAACCATTATGCGGTCGAGATAACGTTTAACGCGAACATTTATTACAGTTATCGCGTGCGTGGCGATGTAATAAGTCGACGTCGATGAACTAGGTCTGGTTTGCCCCAGAAACCTGGTAACAGCGATCGCGCCAAGAGATGGAAATCGCGTCAAAGAACTTCCTCTTTTGTCCCTTTGCATTTCGCATCGGCATGTTCGTTTTCAGCGAAAGTACAGCTCGCTGTGAAAAGAAATCGCGGTCTTTTCCTAAGCGTTGGAGAAATGTCCTACGAGATCCATTTCCTCGAATTAAAGCAGGACGTGAAAGCAACTAAAACGCGCGGCACTGTGAGGAAAACTTGCTTCCCATGTTCGAGGAAAACTCATATTAAAATAATATTAAAATTTAGAATAATTATATTTAATATAAAATTATAAAATATATAACATTATACAATTATAAATTATAAAATTAATATATATAATTATATTTAATATAAAATATTATATTATAATATTATTTAATATAAAATATTTAATATAAAATATATTATATTTAATATAAAATTATAAAATATATAACAAAAATATTATACAATTATAAATTATAAAATTAATATAAAATTTAGAATAATTATATTTATTTATTTTTTTCTTTTATTTCATTTTCTTGAACATTTTTTCATAGATCAATTTCTCCATCAATTGAAATTGATATAACACGACCTCCTAAAATAATTAAAGTATTTAATCAAACTGAAATTCCTTTATTAAATACATTTACTTTAATTACTTCAAGATTTTTTATTGATTCTAAGTCATTTATATCTTTTAAAGAATAAACTTTCAGAAAGAATAAAAATATTATTACTTACAATTATTATAAGTTTATATTTTTCTATCATTCAAATAATTGAATATAAAAATGCTTATTTTTGTATCAATGATAGAATTTATGGATCAATTTTTTTTATTTTACATTTATTTGTTCATGGTTTCTTCTGTTCGAGGAAAAAATTGCTTTCTATGTTCTCTCAATTGTTTTATATACAGTGTTTTCCATAAATAAAGAAAAGAAGAAAATTTTTACATTCTCTTTCTTTTTTGATAGCTTTGAAAAGCAGTTTATAGAACAATTAACTGCAGTAAAACCTCAATTGACGCTTTGAATGCCATGTCTCCCAACTCTGGGAATCCAATTCTTATTTACTCAAATAGAAACAGATTTTTGCATTTATTTCAGATAATAGAGTTTGATTTGTTGATGAATAAATATGTAGTTTGTAAATAAATAAATATATAAAGTGGCGACACTCTGAGTGTGAAAAGTTTGTATTTTGTTAAATAAATGAAATATACATATATTTACTTTGAAAGTGGCACGAGTCACTTTGTTTCTAAGAGTTTCCGATTTAGAAAAATTTATGTCAACTTTTTGAAAAGATTTGCGTATTTGTTATCTCGGATATTTGTATTTTTTTTATAAATAAATAATTTCACGCAGTTATTTTTTTGCATTTCACTGTAAAGTGATTTTATGCCACTTTCGAAATAAACAATTCACAAAAATCATTGACTCATGTTAATTTTATTCAATGTGTTTTACCGAAGTGATGTTTGATAAGGCAGTTGATCAATTTGAGAAAATTGATAAATAAATTGTATAACAAAAGTATTTTATATAAAGATTTATTCGAGAATTAAAATACACATGTAATAACAGAATCCATTAGTACATTTTAAAACATAAGTATAAGTAATTTGTACGACGATATTTCATGTAAAAGTTGTGCAAAAATAAGTGAAAAAAATATAAAATAGAATTTTTTCATTTAAAACTTGGTTTCTAAGAAAATCGACTTTGTATTTAGTGTGTATTGTTAAAAGTTCCTTTGATATACATGTACTTGATAAATTTTCAAATTCGATGTTTCGAAGCAGCTTGCAAAAAAATTTCTTTCTAAATTCCTTTCTAGCTTTCGCATTGTTCATTATTCTTTTCTTTCACATCTGGAATTATTTGAATTCGAATATACTTGATAAATTTTTCAATCCGATTTTCTCGAAAATGAAGCATCATATCGAAAAATTTTCTTCTTTCTTTTCGACTTATTTTTGCATGTATTAGTAACTACACTATTTTTGTGTGGCGACTCTTTTATGAGAAACAAAAGCTTTATTAATATAATTGTAACCATTTTGTTCGATTACCTTTCCATCTTTCAATTTTATGATTCTTCTTCAAAGAAGAAGTTCTTATCTTTTTCGAAAAAAAAAAAAAAAAAAAAGTTCCAAGAACGATTTGATATCCTTATCCAGTAGTGAGACATAGTGAAATATAGCAAAGTAATTCTGACATTAATTCTCTTCATCATATATTGTACATCAGATAATTTTTTATGAGCTTGTACAACGTTTCTCTCTTTTTTGACGAAAATTTTCCTTCTTGATTTTCCATTTTTTGAAATCAACGTCGTCAAACAAACAATTGTTAACGAGATCGTGCATTTTCTTGTTCTAAACAAGCTCAAACAATCAGCTCATCGGGTTATATACGATGAATTTGCGGTTTGAAATGAGGTTAGTTACATTTTAAGATTATATATTTACTTACTCTTTGGCCAATCCAATGGAATCGCACACTGATCGATCATACCACGACTTTGGAAACACCCTTGTGCAAGAGTTCAAATCCAACAATATTTACACTTTTCCACCCCAAATTCTAGTTTTCTCCAGTCTCGTTCTTTCTGCAATTTTTTCGCCCCGAGAAAGTAACAATAATAAGAAAGAGAAAACTGCAATGAAACGAAAGGAGGAAGATAAGTAAAATGAATTCCCACGGTGGCTTGTCGCAGGTGTAAATTTTCTCGTGTGGGATGTGGGCGGGCAGGAGAAATTACGACCATTATGGAAGTCCTATACCCGATGCACGGACGGTATTATCTTCGTGGTTGACTCTTGCGACGCAGAACGGCTCGAGGAGGCAAAGATGGAGCTGACCAGAACCGCCAGGAGCCCGGATAACGCTGGTGTTCCCATTTTGATCCTAGCCAACAAGCAGGATCTGCCAGGTAACACAGTTTTCGTGCATGCATGCATGTGCCAGGTCGGCGTTTCCTCTGGATCGTAAAAGTTACCGCGGCCTCTTTTCACAAAACGAAATTGCTCACGGTGACACATGTGTGTTTTCCCATGTACAAAGATTTAGAGCATATCGAGCATATCTCAAAAGAAAAGACTTCTTTTAAGGGTGTACTCTGGTAATCGACTTTTTGGGGATTTTTTTCTAAGGAGACCGTGATACATTTTGGTATGCAGTTTTCGCACACAGATTTATTCATACTTAAAGGGTATTTACAATTTTTTTTTTTTAACGAAATTAATGAAAGTTGTGGAAATTATATAGCCTTAGGTAAAGCATGTTTTTTAAAATGGGTTCGAACGGCTGACGTGATCCCGGCCCACCTGGTTATTTGAAACTAAAAAACCAAAATGCATCTTAGTTAGTATGAATATGGCTATCGCGTGAACCACGGAAACAACGAAATTTCGAAAATTAAAAAAACGGCAGCATTTGAAGTTAAAATATCGATTTTTTTCTTGTGCTTTTTGTCTTTTGGGTGATAAAAAAAAAAAAAAAAAAAAAATAGAAATAAACCTCAAATTTGGAAATCCGTGATTCATACGGTAAAGGTACATGCGGTGAAGATCTCCTCCAAATTTCAAGTCAATCGGTCAACTAAAACGTCAGCCAGTTTAAAAAATATGGATTTGAGAAAAAAACATTTGAAGTTTCTGTTACCATTGTACAAAAAAATTCATACTTACAGTCAATCGGTACAAAAAATAAAATAATATAAAATAATAATAATATAAATAATAATATTATAAAATGAAATATTTTTTGAGAAAAACATATTTGAAGTTTTTGTTACCCGTTGTACAAAAATATTCATACTTTCGTTGCGAGCAGTACAACCGTTTCCTTTAAACATTTGTAACTTTGCTTCTACGAATTCAAACAAATCCTTTACACAGGCATTCTCGAAAGCATATACTTTGAGAAAATGTATAAAAAAAAATCGATTTTTTTCTTTAAGTCTGATCACCAGAATACTCCCTTAACCCCTTGCGCTGGCAATTTGGTTTGCGGACCATAACGAGTGACCGTATACAATAATTCGTCGCTTTCTTTTTCTTTCGAAGTCATCGGTATGATATCACTGGATAGAAATTATTGAGAAGTAACAAATTTATTATATTATAACAATATTATAATAATATATTATTATATATTATTATTATATTATATTACATTATATTATATTATATTATATAATAATATAATATAATATATAATATATATGTAATAATGTAATATAATATATAATATATATAATAATAATATAATTATCATTGAGAAGTAATAAATTTATTGTATTGTTTTGCCAATATACTTAAATATACTTGAAACTGAGAAAATGTTGCAATTTGGCACAAAAAAATTCTCGACGTGCGACGTCATTCCAGCGCAAGAGGTTAAGTAAATAAATACTTTATATTCGTCGACACTATTTTTTATACTTCTGAAATTTCTATCAACTCCATTTAAAGATCAAGGTTGCAATTATGATATTCGCTTGGAAAATGAACTTTCCACTTCGTTTCGTCTAAGAAGTAAAAGATGCTCCAAACTTTTGAGCGAAAGTACTTTTCGTACAGATACCTTCGAAAACATTCTCATTTCTCTCATTTCGTTTAATATTTATTTAACGAAAAAAAGTGAAAAGGAAGAATTTTGTATTTTGGGTCAAATATTTAATTATTCGTGAAATTTTACTCGATTGCTTAAAGTAGCATAGTATTAAACGTGCTCTCGCGTTCACTCGATGTATCTTCTTTAAAGAAACATTTAAAAACGCGGTTTCTATTCTTCTAATTATATAATAACAATTGAAAAGGATAACAAAAAAAGCGCTAAAAAGAGGCGAATTCCTTATTTGTGATACTTTAGTATTATGTACTTGCTTGGTATTGTCAATTTCATCCTTTGATGCAAAAGTAAAATTTTTTTTATTCTTAAATTGAAGTCATCATTATCCGTGAGACTTTATTTGGACATTGGATCTGGTAAATGGTTTCTGTGTTAAAAAACAAGGGAGAATCGCTTTCGAAGACTTAAGAAGTGTAAATAAGTAGCCGCGAAAACAACCGTGTGTCGGTTTAAGCGTACGGCTTCGCCAGGACTGATAAATGCACTTGACCGCAATTTATACCGAAGCATGATTAAATTATATAGAGTGTTCACAGATTTATTAGACCTAATGTTTTTCTCATAAACGATAAGCACGAGAAAAAAAAAAGAACATGAAAGAAAAGAAGTTTAGAAGTTAGAAGTAATTTTTAAATGATTTTTTAAATGATTTTTTAAAAGATGACCTTTGATGGCAAGGTGAAAATCAAAAGAAAAAATCCGAATATTTTATGAATACGTAACAGGAATATTTCGTGCATTAGTAAATAAAATGGTACGAATTGTTCGAAATTATTCTTTCATTTTTGATCCTGTGATGATATTCAAGATCATTGTGTAATCGTTTTGATATAAAAAAAAAATATGTAGCATTCTGTTTAAATTAAAATTAAATTATTGTAACCGTTTTGACATAAAAAAAAAAGAATATGTAGCATTCTGTTTAAATTAAAATTAAATTATTGTAATCGTTTTGACATAAAAAGAAAAGAATATGTAGCATTCTGTTTAAATTAAAATTGATCTCTGTTTTAAAAGAAGTGCTGTAAACACAAAAAAATTTCTTATTTTTTAGCATTACGTTGCTTACAGAAAACAATATTTCTTTTTCTTCTTTCATTATTTTTCTCATTTACGAGAAAGGTACTGGCTAGTAATTCTGTGAACATAATATATGTTACGTATAATCCATAAGTGACAACATTTACACACGTTTCACAAACGTTATTATACTTAACAAAAAAAAAAAAGGCAGTTACATTATTCATTATTCGAGATTATGGGCTTCTGCATGTTATTCTTTTACGCCTAATATTGTGTAACTGAAAATGTTAATCATTGTGTAATATGTACCATTCGTGCAACTCAATTAGTTTTAGACAGTTAATTTAGCAAGGATAATCATAAAGAGTTTTAAAAATATTTCTTTGCACAACTTTGAACGCCTACTAATCAAGAGACGAACTATCGCTATCTACAACTATATTAGAATATTAAATTACAAAATTCAATTTTAAATTGTGTACTTACTAAAGGAGAAAATCTTCGTGATGAAATACTTCAAGAATCCGAATCATCATAAAATTATCCTCATCCTCAAGTTAAAAAATATTCTCCACAAAATCTTTGTCCAGTTTCGTTGTAAGACTAGAACTCTGTTTATCTACGACTAAAATCCTAAATTAAACAATTCCACGATTCTGGAAAAAAGAAAACAAAAAGAGAAATTCTTTATGCGTGAAATGTTTTAAAGATCTAAATTCTATCATAGGACTAAAACTATGATTTTCGATTAAAATTTTAAAGTAAGAAATGTTGTTCGCAATCTTGAGTTAAAGAAATCTTGAGTAAAAGAAATCTTTGTAAGACCGGAAGTATCGTTCTTGACTAGAATCGATTCAACAAAAATTTGCACGATTTTGAAATATTGGAAAAGTAAATTCTAAAGAGTTAGCTTGAACCATTAAACATTGTGTTAGGTAAAAGATCGAAAGAAAGAAGAGAAGGAGAAATAAAATTGCGTTTATTATATTTTTCTGTCTGAGTATAATTCTTTTAAACACTTCAAATTTAGATATTTTAAAAATATTAATACTTTCATATGTTATAAAATGTTTGTCAAAACTTACGGCATTAACAAGTAATTTTAAGAAATTTCCGGAAATATATTTATATTATTTTCCATATATAATATAAATTTTAATAATGTAAATATATTTCCATATATTTGTTGTTCGATAGCTCGAGAAGTTAATCCTTTGCATTCCAAGATTTTGTCCTATACCACCAACTCCGCGGTATTTTTTAAAGAAAAAATAGAGATCATACATATATACTCAAATTATAAAATAACTAATAAATAATAAAAATAACTTTTTTATTTGAATGTTACGTATATTCTTATATTTTAGAAATATAATATTTAAATCTTAAGCTCTCTAATTCTGTTTGGTATGACATTTCAAACAGCACTGACTTCTCACAGCCTTTTTTTTTTTTTTTTCATATTTCATGTAAATTAGGACGGTGAGTGACATTCACCGCTGGAGCTGTTGCAATAAACAGAGTGGCGAGTGACACTCGCCATTCTAATTTACATTAATATGAAAAAATAGGATGCGAGGAGTCGGTGCTGTTTGAAATATCATACCAAACTTATATTTCTAAAATATAAAATATTTCTAAAATATACATAACATTCAAATAAAAAAGTTACTTTCAATTTGAGTACATATGTATGATCTTGTTTTATTTTTTCTTTAAAAATACCGCGGAGTTGGTGGGATATAATATATATATTAACCCTTATTATTGGACCTATAAGTTATAATATATATATATATATATATTTAACATTATTTATTATATATATATTTAACAATTATATTTTATATATATTTATATATATATAAAAATATATATTAACCTATATTCTAGTATATATTTTCTCTAATATATATTAACCTATATATATAATGGTATATCCTATTATAATATATATTAACCCTTATTGGACTTATAGGATATAATATATATAATATAATATATATGAGGGTATATCCTATGTAATATATATTAACCCTTATTATTGGACTTATAGGATATAATATATATTAATCTATATCCTATATAAGGGTATATCCTATATAATATAGATTAACCCTTATTATTTGACCTATAAGATATTATATATATATATTTTTTTTTTAACAATTATATTTTATATATATTTATATATATATAAAAATATATATTAACCTGTATTCTATATAATGGTATATCCTATATAATATATATTAACCCTTATTATTGGACTTATAAGATATAATATATATAAGGGTATATCCTATATAATATATATTAACCCTTATTATTAACCCTATTAATATATACAATTGTATATATATATATATATATTTAACCCTTTAAATATATAATTATATATTTAAATAATCTGTATAGGAGAAAATCTTGGAATGCAGAGGGTTAACGAAAACATTTCACCTACTCCCTCACTCTCTGCACTGTAATTATAACCAAACCGTTCCATCCGGTGTTCACAGGTGCCAAAGAGGTAGGCGAGTTGGAAAAGCACTTAGGCGTCCTGGAGTTAGCCGGGATGCCGGGTAGTGCGTGCATCAGAGTGCAGCCGGCCTGCGCGATCACCGGCGAGGGTCTCCACGAGGGATTGGACACGTTGTATCAGCTGATATTGAAGCGGCGTAAGCTGGCGAAGTTGAACAGGAAGCGGGCCAGGTAGGCCAGGGCCTCGGAGGACTGCACGTGCGTCTTCTGATTTTGTAAGTCGCGGACAGTCTCTCCTTTGGACACAGCCACGCCTTCCACGGTGTCTTCTTCCTCTTCGTCATGCTGCGATGGCGACGTCCACGAGGTGTTCGAGTGAACGCACGTGCACACACACACACACACACACACACGCGCACACGCACACAGACACACACACAAAATCCCCTCCTGTTCGTGCGGACAATTGTTCTCGTTGTGGAACAATCCCTCGATCTTTTGTTCTCGAGACGCTGGCCGGCCGGATCTGTGTTTCAAAAATGCAAGGCTGGACGGCGGATTCGTGCAACGAGATGGAAACAGATCCCGTAGAATCATTCATTCCGAATGGGATTCGTGGTTTTCCGTTCTTCGATGAAGATCTCTGATCGCTTCTGAAAGCACCTAAGAACACCAGATGGTTTCTCGTCGAAGAAAGAATTGAACATGCAAACTGGACTTGTACGAATTGGATTTCTTGATTTGCTTGGACGATGTGTTTAGTAAACGTGATAAATACACGCGACAAAAACTGCCACCAAAATACGTGGCTGACTCACTACTCTAAAAAAAGAGAGAGAAGAGAGGTTGGCGATCCTTGAAAAAAGGTTAAAGGATAAGACGGAGGCGATATCAGTCGGAATACTTTTCCAATAGGATACTTTGGCTGAGAATTTAGGCGTTGCTCATTTACCGGTAGCTATTTTACGTTGGTCCTAAAGAATGCAACACGTGTGTTCTCTCATCGAAGAGAAGCTCAAGATTATTCGTCACGATATTTAGATGAATGTCTGCGACGACAACGAAACAAGTGCTTGTTCTATTTTCCCCCCCGAAATGTTGCATTTTCAGCGATCCGAGGCGATCGTTTCACTCGTGAAAAATTGAATCGAGAACAGGGAAGCAGAAAGATATCTCGCTCGGAAGAGGGTAGGACTCGGATCGAGAGTCTCAGCGATAAACGGAGCTTCATCGACGACTTCGTTGCTGATAAAGATGACGTCGAGTCGTATAAATAATGCTGACGCGGGTCTGGGTCAAGAAGAAGACCAAGATAAAACCCTGGATATATTAATAACTGTGACCGTAAGCATCGGCATTGGCTGAAAAATTCATCGCAATGGGGAACACCTGACTATGATTTTTAACCAGAGTGGCACGGCACCGAAGATTGTTTTTTTTTTTTTTTTTTTTTTTTAACTTGACCAATGGACACGCCGGGGGATTCTTGCAGCGAGTAGAGGAGAATTTTGATAGACGATTTTTTGCTACGTGGACAATCCTCCATCGTGAATTTATCGTATTTCACGCCGTTTGTGAAGCTTGGAGGTGTATCGTCGGCCAGACGATGATCGTGCCTCCCCAGTTTTTTGCACCTTTATACCACGTAATGAGAGATAAATCGTTAATGTCAGGCGTGAATAGTATATCGTTGCTTCTTCCCGACGAATGGCATTTTTTGTAAAAAAAAAAAAAAAAAAAACGATGTGATAACAATCCCTACCCTATATATATACCCTTTTACTTTTCCCTGTTCAATTAGCCTGTATCCTTGTATCATACTTCTGTACATGTGAATCTGTGTTGTACTCGTTGTATCGTGCCCTATAGCGAACCTGAGCCTGATTAGAACCGACACATATCTCGAGCAAGTCCAATAAATGATTCAGTGTGATATTCTTTTTTATTAGGAATTGAGGGACTTTCTGGAAAGGATATAAATTGCGCGTGAACTTTGTTCTTATGCTCATAGAACGAGTAAAAATTTCACGATATACCTGTATCTTTCAGTTACGTATAATTCGTTGAATCGTGAATTAATTAGATGTTCTACGTATATTTTACGAGTTTATCCGTTGATTAGCTTTCAAGGACGTCCTTTAGGAAATTAATCTACTTCTGCTTGAGAATTTTAAGCAATGATTGCGGCTGAAAACGACGGGTGCTCGTGTTTACTAGTGTATTATGTCTCTGACAGTCCCTTCGACGTGTGGACTTCCGGTACGTGCAGTTTCCTATCGACCACCATCGTACGAGACGATATATTTCTTCATGTTTCGCGGAAAACACGTCACTCCTTTCTCGTTTAGCTCACAATTTAACCTCTTGCGCTGGAATGACGTGCCACGCGCGTCGACAATTTTTTTTGTTCCAAAGCTGTTTTAAAAAGCATTTCCTCAGTTTCACATATATTTAAGTGAAACAAATAATAAATTTATTGCTTCTCAATAATTTCTATCCAGCGATTATCGTACCGACGAGTTCAAAAGAAGAGGAAAGCGACGAATTATTGTACAACGAGTTCGGTCACTCGTTAAGGTCCGCGAACCAGTTGCCAGCGCAAGCGGTTAAATCTTAACAATTAATATTCGTAACGAATGTTACGAGTTAATTATTATAGTTTCTTTGTACGCATGTTGAAGAAACGTTCAATGTCAAAAATCTGTTATTTTATTTTTGAATGGTGATTCCTGTTTGTAGAAAGTATCGTTGAAAAAAAGAGTTTACTTCAATCAAAAGTACATAAGTTTGTCGCGAAAAAAAAAGAAAAGTTACGCGAGTATTCTCGTGACCGTTCCTTCTTCGTTCTCTCAATTATTCTTTTATATGAATTTCTCATGTTTCAACGTGCTTTCCTTAGGAAAAAAAAAAAACAAGTTCTTCCATAAAAATTTCTTCCTCTCGTGAAAGAAAAGCGATCTGAATATCGCTTTACGTGAAAATAGAGGATACTTTACGTCTACTTTCAACGTAAAGTGCTTCCTCCTTCTGGGATCACCGGAATATGAAAGAATTACGATCGTGCATTTAATGAGTTTCAACAAGCATCAAGAGACAATATTTTTGTTGAGAATAAAAAAAAAACATGAAAGGAATACAAACAAGGAATTAAATGGAATTCTTCTCGTATATTTAGCGGCGAACTGGAGGAGAAGGAATCGAGAAAGAATAGCAGTTTTCCCTCTCGAAAAATGTCGCGTTTTATTTCCGGGCGAGCGAGGTTTAGAAAATTGGGCACACGAATGTCGGCCGAGCTAATTTAACTGGTTATTTATTGCGGCGCACGGATCGATATTACCCTGAGTGACAGAGAGGGCAACACGAGGCCGGAAATCGTGGTTTGCGGCGAACGATGTACAAGAACATTATCCGGAACAATGACCTCCTGTGACGGAAGTAGCCGTGAAATCGGAAGCGTGCCCCGCGATAGAAAGAAATCAGAAGAAACGCCAGGAAATGAATGCATCCTTTAACAAATTACATATCAAAGAGTTCTCTAAGAAAGAACTTCCAATTTCTTTTTCTTTTTTTTTTTTATCTCGAGTGATTTTCGTTCAAGTAACGGGACACTGACGAAGTATTTGAAAACCTGAAGGATATTGTTGAAATTTGGGGGAAATTATTACCGTCTTATTTGAGACCTTCGATTATGAAAATAGGTTTAGAATAATTTTATTTAAGGGGGCAGGACAGTTTGATGGGCCTAAAAATAATAAATACTTTGGAGGGCTAGTAAAAATTACATACTTGATTTGACATGAGCTTTTGTGGTTTATTTCAACACATTCTGAATTATAAAAAGCAACGTTGAAAGAGAAAAAAAAGAGGGCTCTTATTTTAAGTTTCTAACGGCATCCTTTTACATTGCCTATCGGTGTGCATGATTCCAGCCAAACAGGAATTAGTTGCAACAAAAAGGAAGAAAAAGTTCAAAAGTAAACAACATTCTCTAGGGATTGACGATCCAACATTTTCATTTCTGTGAAAATTATGAAAATAGCAGCTATTTTGTTTTTGATGTGTCGAATTTATGCCAAAAATTTCTACGTTCTTTATTTATATTTTTCGAAATTGTTAAGAATTAAAAAATGTTCGATCGTCAATCCCTAGTAAATGTTACACTAAAGATACGTACCAAGTTTCGCAGTAATCGGTTGGTTAGATTCCGAGATATCTTGCACACCGTTTCTAAAAATCTAGTTTCGAGAAAAACGCGTTTAAAGTTTCAGAACGTCATTCTTCATATGTATCATTTACTTACTTTTTTTACTTATATATCGCGGCTCACAGTTCTTACAATTCACAGCTAAATTGAATCCAAGTCCCCTAGTATTCATTTCGCCAAAAATAATATTTCAATCACACGATTTGTACTTTGTAATACTGCTTAAAGTTTTGTAAACAGTGATGCAAATTCAATTATTCTGTATCCGCGGATTTATTATTACACCCCCCAAAATAAGTTGTTTTAAAGACTAGGATCTTTAGTATCTTATTCCCAAGATACTTCAAATTACTATTTAAGACGAAAAAAAAAAAGAAATCGATTTCTTGAAAATTCCAAACTGTCCTGACCTCTTAAAATCAAGAGAAAAGATGTGAACGTTACGTAACTCAATTATTTCATTAACTTTGTTTTCGACTAACGTGAAGCAATTTTATTTTCAAATTGAACAATTTGTTATTTTATTTAAGTGTTTCAAATGAAAAGCCATCTTTCATAATCTCTGCAAACAACTGATCTGATTTCATCTTTGATCATAAATTGATAAAATAACAATCGATGAATCGTGTTCCTGATAACACAAGTCGATAAGTGGAAACGATCATTTGGAAACGATCGCTGTCAAATGATCACATCTGAAACCAGTAACTGTTCTAATATTTATGAATAAGATATGCATATCTTCCACCTGTATTTCCTTAATATTTACTTCGTTCGAGACAACGAAATTTATTTAGGAAATAAAACGATTTGTTCGAATCAGTTGCACGTGTTATATTCCTTCAAAAGTTTTTCTTCGGGTCTTGACTGTTTTCAAATAGTAAAAGAATTTTAATTTCGATTAGAAAGGAAGTATTATATCGATTCTCTGTGTTTCTTATTGTTATCCACAAAGAAAACGCGCAGTTGTCCGCTCATTCCCTTTGAATTTAAATAAAATATCGAAGGAGCTGAGGATCGATAAAGGTGCAATGAGTCACAGCTAGACACGGCTCACGTGTGATTGATCGCCGAAGAAAACGCGAGTCAGTAAACTAGTCACGCGATTTTTGAATATTTACAAGAATTGTCGCGATGAGGAACGACGCGTATGCATAATGCATAATCCCGTCGATATTCGGTAGCAAGA